ATTTCAAATACCACTCAAATGCCTTTTTTTCATCCTTATCTGTGCCTATGCCATTTCTGTAGCAGATTCCAACATTATTTTGTCCACCTGAATTGCCACCTTCAGCAGATTTCAAATGCCACTCAAATGCCTTTTTTTCATCTTTTTCTGTGCCTATGCTATATTGATAACACCATCCGAGATTATCTTGTCCATTCGAATTACCACTTACAGCAGACTTCAAATACCACTCAAATGCCTTTTTTTCGTCCTTATCTGTGCCTATGCCGTGTTGATAACACCATCCAATTTTATTTTGTCCATTCGGATTTCCACCTTCAGCAGATTTCAAATACCACTCAAATGCCTTTTTTTCGTCCTTGGCCGTACCTATACCATTTTCATAACACCATCCAAGGCTATTTTGCCCATCCGAATTGCCACTTTCAGCAGATTTTAAATACAATTCGAATTCAGTCTTTTTATCCATGATTATTATGCAGTACACTAACTTGATTTATTATCATAATAAAAATTTTGAAAATGTACGTACGCATTTATAATGTTTACTGTCATACACGATGTAACCTCATACAATAAATAAAGACCTTCATGTGATTTGCTAATTTAGCTGTAAAAAATTTAATATCAAGCATGAACATTGGTATGCGATATCTTAATTTAAATCAAAGTTTAATACTGTATAAACTTAAATATTACAATTTTATGCACCATCTGTTATTAGTACGTAGGATTTCGTTTAATATAGGTATCCATTAATAAAATATATAATTAATCAATTGATTTTAGAGTAGGTCACTAAACTAAAAAGAGATCCAATATGTTGAAATTAGTTGAAGAAAGATGTACACTGTACGCGCGTTTAGCTTCATTCGTATCTCTGGATTGTTTTGATACAGTATTTTCATATTCAAGATGTATCAATGATGTTAAAACTGAAGACTAATAATTATATTACATTATTGTGGGATTGGGAAACTCAATTAAATAGACTCAATAATAATGGATTTTGTAACATATATTTGATTATGTGATTGATTAGTAAATGTACTTCGATTATAATTAGTATCTTTTTACTACATATAAGCGCGAAATAACGCTCAGATATGGTTGTATAACTTAATGTAAGTTATTTTTTAAAAGTAAGTTACATTTTAAGTTATATAAGTTACCGTGTAAGGTAAGTTATATGTATAATAATAATAAAAAATTTCATCCTTTAATAACCTTAATGCTGGCTAAATATATTCTGACCGACATTAACGATAGCCGGCCTGCTTTACTATACATTTATTACTGTAGTCTATATATTAATATAATAAGTTTATTCAGTAATTTGGAGAACCACAATATTATCAGTTATATCTACGTATGTACGTACGTATCCGTATAAACGCGAAATAACTGCGAATTAAACCAAAATTTCCAAAATTTGAAATTACGTTTTTTCGCGCTTATACGGTAATCGCAGCATTGGCGAGGCGTCGTGAAATACTAATCGTAAAACCAAAAAAAAATTTTTTTTATACACATTTTGAACAGTATTTACGATTTTTTTATTTTGTTAATTTCATATGTACAGTACATCTTTTGAAAAGATAATAATATTTAACAGTGTTAAAAAAAAAAAGGACCAAAAACAAAAAAAAAATGCCAAAAAAAAATATAAGTTCATCCAAAAATATCCTACTGTGAGAGAAATGAAATATATGAACTATGTTACAAAGGTACCATTTCAATCAATGGCATGGACACCGAAAATCAGACTCGGTGATTGACTTTACATACAGTAATGATAGATGCTCATGAAGAGCATTCGTATAAATTTTAAGCAAACATACGCTTTCTAGGTGTTTCAAAATCACATCTAAGTAAATCAAGATTGATAGTATAAATACATTTTTGTATCTCTTTATCCATATCCCTAGTAAATCTTCCATTTACTAAACCAGCTTCCCATGATAAATTGAGATGTAAAAATTTTAAAGATTTTCTTTCTTTAACGAAGCCCAAAACAGTTGTTAAATATGAAGTGTCAATGGCAGCATTGGGGAATAAAGATAATTCATCAAATTGTACACGACAATTTGATAAAAATTCACCTAACGCAGATAAGGAATAATCTTGTTCCAATTCAAGATGACGTAATGAGGAAGGTAAGTTCTTGGCCATTGCTATTAATAAAGCATCAAGACTTTTCATATTAGTTGAAGATAAACGAAGATGAATAAATTTAAGTTCCCTGATTAATTGTAAATAATTATTTAAGTTGATTTCAGGGATATTATCAAAGTCCAAATGAAGATGTATAATTCTAACAGCAGATCTCAATATAGCTTGAACAACTTCAGTATTTATAGTGTTTATCCAGAGATTCTTTAAGGAACTTCCACCAGTTTTTATAACAGCAGCAGTAACTTTTGGAGTTTGATTAAACAATTTCAAAGATCTCAGTGAGAATGAAACGCCGGTGACAGTAGTAGGTATTGAATCATTCGCAGTACAATCTTGATGATCTTCAGAGTGAAATTCGATAGCACGTAAATTTGTACATTTACCCAACACATCAAGAGAAGCCCATTGATAATTAATATTATTAAATTTCACAAAAGTTAAAGAAGTAGATTGAGATTCCAAAGCTGATAGGATAGGATTGATTCTTGGAGCAACACCAGTCAACTCGAAAGTTAAAAGACTTTGTTGGGCACGTATTAAAGTTGATAAATTTTCAGCTTCAGTTGGATCATTAACATTTAAATCAACTTTTAAATGACGTATTCCTGTACAGATAGCAGGTAATTTCTTTATAAGAATTGAAGTGTTGGTTGAAACATTATTTATCAAAACTACGAGTTTTGATAAATTCACAAAGGAAGATTGACTTCTTGTAAATATTGAAACAACAGGAATATCATCATTAGAATCTAAAATTATACAATCTAAATTAGAACTTCTCAAGAATAATTTACATAAAGCTTTCATTATAGTAGCTTGTCGGCTGACACTTAGGCCATGTATTCTTGGTTTAATTGTTTCACTGAATTTATCGTTTCCTAATGTTTTATAACATTTACGAACAGCCATACGTATAACAGGATAATTCAATTCTTTCAAGTACGTAGCGTACTCGAATAAAGGACTTTGTAAATGTAAAGAATCGTCATCACCCTCAGATAATTCATCACTAAATAAAATTCTTCTTTCATCATCATTAAAACATGAAACGTAAGATTCTATCAAACTTTTTGAAGAATTAGTTTTATATAAAGGAGGATTAGGCCTTGCCCATAAGATTGGAACAACACTTCTACACCAAAATCGGTTAACGAATAAACATGAATATAAAGTTGATTGATTATCAATTTTTTTAAATATTTCATTAATTGTTTCGGAAGGTAAAGATGGACTAATTGATTTTTTTCCTATAAGTTTTCTATTAGACATTGTGTTTTTTTTAAAAAAAAAGAAAAACGATTTCAAAAATTGACGTAAAAAATTGATATAAAAAATTGATGTAAAAAAATCGATGTAAAAAAATCGATGTAAAAAATTTGATGTAAAAAATTTGATGTAAAAAAAAAAAAAAAAAAAAAATCGAACTGCAAACCTTATTTTTATAACTTTACCAAAAATCAATAAAAACAAGTCGATCACACAAGGTCACATATGACAACCTGAAATAACAGGTTAATCATAATATATAGGCTTTACTAGAAATAAATTAGGAATACATTAGGAATACAAGATACAAAAACTAGTCTTAGAAATTGTCAAATTTATCAGAATTCAGGATATTTCTTAAATGGAGTTCTCACGCCCTTCTTTCACCTATTCATGTTGTATTTGCAAAGATTCTTTTCTTTCAAAAAGTTTTATATCAAGGATCGTCTCGATACTTTTTTTTTTGGATTTCAATATTTTGACAATTACACAAAGATATATCAAAATTAGATTATTTTTTTTTTATTTAAAAGAAAAAAAAAAAATCTAGTATGAAAAAGTATGAAAAAGTATGAAAAAGCACTCATTGATGCTGTGTATGAGATCAATAATCATAATTCATATCATTATATTTTAACCCATTGTCATATGATCATTTTACATTGTCATTTCTTTCTTGTTACGGAATGTATCTTATATTTATTTCCGATAATGATTTCTTTTTGTAAATAAGTATAACGTCAATTTGCATCAGAAAAATAATGATATGAATAAATATAGGAATATCTCAATTTTTTAACGAATAATAATGCGCATCATCATAATCCAAAAATAAATTTCCATTGTTCTTCATTCTAATTTCTTTTAAGCAATTCGATTTTTGATTATTTTTTAAATATAAAGTTTGTTAAAAGGTTAAATCAAGTCTACGATATATAAAGATGTATATATCATCTATTTTCCTGGAGTAAATTATTACGTATCGGTATACGTAATATATAAATATGGTATATGTATACGTATGCAAGTACAGGATCAATCTTTTTTTTTCAAGCCAATAGAATTTCCGTAACATTAAATACGTAGTTTAAATAAATTTATCGTCATTGTTTTTTTTTTAACAGTTAATCAGCGGAAATTTTATAGGCGATCAAAGACTTTTAAGTAGAATAACACATGATCTTGATATCGTTATACAAAGCTTTTTAATCCGCGAAACAAAAACAAATCAAATTTTTCCGAGATAAACTTGATTTGAACGATTATAACGATAAAAGAAAAAGTCTAAGATACGTACGTACGTACATAAGTAAAATGTTAAATTCTGACAATGAATTATTCTTTTCTAGAAACAAAACCGGTTTCTTAAACAAATTTCGAGATATAAATGTTCGATCATTTTTTTTGAAATATTACGTGATTATAATAGATAATCTTGGCGTTGATGCATATTTTAGTGAGAAAAAAAATGTGGTTGAAGAGTCTACAAAAGGTTGGTTTAAGATAGTAAAAAAAAAACTTTTTAACAAAGTGATATAGCTTTTTAATAATCAAATTACGATTCTATTAAACAAACGTTATATAATGTAATATATTAAAGTGTACTTTGTATGTTGACTTTAGTGTTGACTATATAGTCGTTGAAATAGAATCTTTATGAATTCCAAAATAGTATACGTTGATACACTGTACCGACTAGTGATGTCGATATAACGTCACTATGATATACATTATATAAGTTTTATCATATGATAAAACTGATTTAGTGTATATTGTTGTTAAAATAACTATATATATAGTAAATATTATAGTTAAAAACTATTTATTAAAATTAGGCTATTATTAGATCGTCAAAAAAATGTAAAACTTTATGTTTTGTAAATAAGCATACTCATAGTAATCACGGGACTAGGCGTTATTGATTTTCAAATAACCAATGAATAAGATCCTGTCGCTACTAATAAAAAAAAAGTGCCTATTTTCGAGGTTTACAGTATCTAATTTTGATGGTCAGCCTCGAACAAAATTGATGCTTGTATTGGTGAAAAAAAATGGGGTTAAAGAAAAAAAATCGACTTACAATTAAGCGTATTCTAAGTTACAGATATATTTCATTATATTATTATGGCATCTTAATAAATTTAATACGTACGTACATATTAAAGATATAGCAGATCTTACCTTTTTTTTTAGTTTTAATAACACAGAATAGCATTGTGAAAATTTTAAGCCATAATCTAAACCGACATCAAGAAAAATTGTAGATGAGATTTTAGGGGTTGAGAACGATAATAATTAGCTTTAAAAAACTACGCAGTAAATGTTAAATGTTAATATTAATTACTTCAATAAATTTATACAGTTTCTTAGTTTATTATTTTATCAAAAGTATTTAAAGTTTTATATCGGTTTATATTTTAGCAATTTTACTATTTAACGTGGCTAATTATTGTTGAACATCAATGGTCTTACAAAGAAATCAAAGAAGTTGATGCATAAAGTCTATTATTATCCTTCAGTCTACATCAATCAATAATTTAGTTATTTTTTTATTTACCAATAAATAAGAACGTCATATGCAGATTGTAGTAGACAGAAGGATAAGAACTATAACTGCGTTATTCGTCAAAGATCTGTTAAATGCTATTCGGCCGCTATCGCGGTCGAATGCATTTAACAAATTTTTCCGAATAACAACGTTATTTGTCGAAAATTTTTGACGGATAATCAGCTATTGGTCGCGTAGCGGCCAATAACTGAAAAATTATCCGTCAAAAAATTTCCAGCAAATGACTGCAGTTATTGTTCACTACACGCTTAATAACTACATATTATTGGCTGCTTCTCATCCAATAACTATATTTATACTTATTGTTAAATCTACAGCTAATATGTATATACCATAAATGAGTTTGTGTTGCATGTGCCCCAAATCTCAAATTATGGCCAAACTACTGTTATACAAGACTCGGGTCTATTGCATTCCGCCAAATTTAAATCACTTTAATGCTTTAGACGCCTGCAAAAGTACGTGGTTGGAAGTTTATATAATATACTTCGTGTTTATAATAGGCAATCTAGATTTAAAAAAGAACTGCATTTAACCAATAAAGTTTCTGTGGTTTGCAGCCATATATAGCATATAGTGGACCTACTATCGAGACTATCGAGGAAGGTTATTTTATAAGCCCATTTATGGTAATATCTCAAAAAACTTTATTATTAAACTCTTATTTTTTGAGCATTTTTAAGACTTTTGTCCAGGTTTGGTAAGCAATTATAGTCTACATAACACTACGTAAGACAATGGGAGTTTCAGAATTAACGATTCGATGTCTGATTTAAGATAAAATAAGTGACGCATTTATTTCTATTTTTTTTTAAAGTATGTACGTACTGTACGTACTTATTTACATAATCGCTTACCGATGAAAGTTTTATCAAAAAAAAGCTAATTTTATCATCGGCTACGCCTATTAATTTTCTGATTCGGGATTCTAAATAAGAAAATAGGTTCTTTTAAACTCCCACTTATTTTTGAAAAAAAAATTACCCACTAATATAAAAAAAAGAATAACATAAAATTCACATCAGTAGATTCTGTGCATAGAAGATTTCTCTGTTTTCATCAAACATGCACTAAATAGTGTAAGGCAATAAAATGTATACCTATTTCTTATTTATTAAAAGCCAGTGGCTTAGCACTTATACATACCTATATATATATGAGTGCCTAAATTACTTCTCCTAATGAATAATTATTTTGGCAATTAATTTGTTTCCATAGTTAACGATAATTATTGGCGAAATTATTTGAATTCCTTATATAAAAATACTTTAAAAAGTACAGCCAAACCTCACTAAATGCAATCTTTAACTTTGGTCCAAATATATACCTAGACACATAAGTGCAATTTTTTCTTATTGTTCTAAATGCAAGCTGTCAAATGTCTATTGCATTTTAAGGAAGTTTAACTATATAATTATTTTGGGGTACATATTAAAAAAAAAACCATATATATCGCGGTGGCGAAAATTTTGGCGAAACCACATTTTTTTTCCAAAAATAATTTAGACATTCATGTACTACGCATATCTATATATTCCTTCACGCGATATCATCACATCCGGGATCATCACAGTCAAACTGTTATATAGTTTAATCTAAAAAAATTATATTTTAATATAATTATTATGATACAGTATATATTTATTACATTTTCATATATTTTAATTAAACATAAAGTTAATATATTAAATAAATAAATTTATATATATTATGTTTTTATATTAATTTTATTATATATACTGTTGTATATTTTTAATATTAATATATTTTAATATATGTTTAAGAAAAAACTCGAGTCGACTAACTACTGTATATAAAATTACTTAATTAAAGAAACTCAATTGATGCATTTAAAAAATGTTCAAATAAAAAGAGTTGACTGTATATTTAGATATTTTACACAATTGAAAATGAAAGTTACTGTATGTACGTACGTACGTACGTATAATGAATATCGTGAAAATCAACAGATGAAGTATTTATATTTAAATACGCGATATTACAAAGCAGGAATTGGTTCATTTATGGCAATATCCAGTACGCCATAAAAATTTTGTAGACTTCCTAGTAGCAGTGTTGTCACGTTACTATGTTCATAAATTTTCTTTTTCCGCATGTTCACGTTCATTTTGAAGTCTATGCACTTTAGTATATTATTTAAAAAAAAAGTATATAATTAAATGTTAATAAAAATTAGTTATAAATATTTTTACTTAATGCTTAAAATAAAGTTGTCATAATAAAATTTTGAATTATTAAAATTTCCTTTTTTGTCCATATATGTCCATCGGCAACACTGCCTACGTATTAATACGTATTATCACTACTCACCACAACAAAGTATATAGCATAAGCATTCTTTAATCAAGTCAAACGGAATCATCGAATCAAGCATTGAACAAAAATAGATGTTCGATTTTTATTTACGGGTCGATATTGACGATATGGAAATGCTTTTATTTGAATTAATGCTATTATAAACAATTCTATTGATACTAGAATTGCTTGAATTCCTTTTGAGATGTTGAGTGGTTGCCTATCATTAACGTTTAAATATATATTAGATCTATTTAAATTGTAAAATATTAAAGTATATATGATATTTGACTAACCAGTATTTAGTTGGAGTAATGAAACCAAATAAAACTAGTATATTAATAATGTGGCCTTGATATGTGATTACAAAAAGTGCCTATATGTAGTCCAAAAAAAAAAAATTATAATGTAAATAATATGTATAACTTATATTTATTTATACTTATATGAAAATTTTTTTTTATTACCGCAAAAACACAAATTCCTCTCCAGAATAATTGTCTCTTTAATTTAATTAGATGAGCGTCACTGTCACCTCTATTTATACCTATAAATTCGAGATATTTTGTGACTGGTTTTGCTAGCATGTTCTAAATTAATATAATTATATTAATTATAATTATGTTAATTATAATTATGTTGATCATAATTAAGTTAATTATAATTTATTAACATAAATATACTAAATATTTTTATTTCTTCTTTTTAACTTACCAAACACAAGTTAGCAACTAATCCAGAAATAGTTTGAATAACCACCAAATAGAGTTGACCAAAATGTATAGAAAAAATCTCTTCACAATATTTTCCTTTAAACTGTAATACTAATCCAATTGCAGTTGTAATATACAATACAAGAACATATTGTAAAATTCCAAATCTCAACTTCTTGAGATAATTCTGTTTTAAATAAGAACATTTTATAATTCCAAATACTTTTATTTCATTGGTGGAATGGGTTTGACTCATATGATTTGATAAATTTCTTAATTCGGTCATTCGCTTTGCATCATCTTTTATGTCTAGGGAGTTTAGCAAGAGATTAAAGAAACTGTGAACTGCAAATGCTTGGTATGTATCACGGATTACCAAGAAGTATATAGAATGTCGCAAGAGGAAGTATGAAAGCCAGGTCATGATTGTATACATTGGCACCAAAAAAAGTAACCGAACTACATATCGTTGTTCGTGTTTCTAAAAAAAAAAAAAAAAAAATTTAATAATAATACATATAATACTGTAGTAATAACTGTAATATAATCATTACAAATCATAACAAACATCAAGATCATGTGAAGTAATCGAATCAATTCACTTTTGATCGTGCTGATTCGTGACCATCTTAAGAAAAGAAAACAAAATAATAATTACATTATTATAATATTTCCATTGCTGTTTCATTTGATAAAAGGCAATCAATGATGCCTCTATTGTGAATATGGCAGATACTGCCCATCCTACAACATGAACTATAAAAATAAAAAGTCCTTAGTATCTAAATAAATTAGGATAATAAAAAAAAAAATTTAACCTACTTGATATTTTTCTATTATCGTCTATAAACACAAATGCATTCGGATCGTCACCATTGTCTATAGTTTGACAAACATTGGAGAAGAATCGACTCATTATGAAAAAAAACTCAATAGTGTTTGTAAAAAAGGATTATTTTAATACAGTTAAATTTGTTAATTGGTCAATCTCTAATTGATGTTAATTACTTATTACGTTCAGTACGTATGGTTATGTTGATAAATGATAAAGTTCGCACTTTCTAACTGCGTAGCTTTATATAAAAGAATGTTAAAATTTTACATACGTATGTACGCAAAAATAAAACTAAAAGTTATCAATGAACAATTCTGAAAAAGCTTTTCTTTTATAAACGTCCATTTTACACAGAATTTAATTTCATAGTATCACGTTCAATATTCAAAACAAAGTAATCCTTGGTCTGTTCGATACTAAATTTAGTAACAAAAAAAAAAAGCTTAACTATTATTGTTTGTTTGTTTTAAAACGATCTTTCGTTTAAACGTTTTTCCGTGTAACATTCTTCAGCTGAACGTATTACACCCTATAAATTCAATACAACATAGTTCATTCAGGAATAACTGAGATCACCACATAAAAAATAACAAAGCATTTAGTGTTTCGTATACGTACGTAACATTAAATCGCTGAGCGAATGCGTAATAATATTGAATAATTGAACCAATTTTTTGTTACTCTGGACTTATAGACTAGAATGCGTAATTCAAATCACTATACTCGCGTCCAGCACCATTATTTTAGGATATCTAAAATCATATTATAAAGTGTATGTTACACTAAGGTTAACTAACTAGTTCACGTACGTACAGTACGTATGTATAAAAATACATTTTGAATATGTGCGCTGCAGAAAACCTTAATATATCAACTTTGTATATCGACATTGACCCGCCAACCAAATATTTCTATTCTAGAACTACCCAAATTCCGGGGTCGGCTGGGACCACATTTAAAATAAACCTGGGACAATGGAGATGATAAGTTACCGAGTCATAATTACCAAGGTTGTACAATACAGTACATACAAACTTCTAATATACAGATTTAAGCATAAATATTGAATATTATGCAACTTACCGTTCTCCGCTACGTACATAATAATGAAAATATATATCAGATATTAAGAATTATGGCATAGCAGGGATCCTTAATTTTCTCCCACTAGTTCGGTTGGTCGCGTGTAAATATTAGCGATATAAACTTAATTAAATATTTTGGTTATTATAAAAATTATATTTTTGTATTTTTAATAATTTTTTTTGCATTATTTAAAACGACTTACGTACAAGATGATAGAATTACGAGACAAATATTCGCAAGATGACTTCATTTCTGTGAACGTCTACATCTCCAATATTTTGACAAGTTACATTACGGTCACTAGTAAGATTACTTGTTATCCTAAAATTTTTCTCTTGGATGGCCTGCATTTTTCCGTTTGTGTTTTATTTTGGTTTTCTGAGACTTATCTGTTTGAGATAGTTGGTTTAACATGCTTAAATTAAAGATAAATTTATAGAAGTCGATATTGATAAACCAAATTCACAGTTTAAAATTGATATTTTACTGGTAAAATTATTATTAAAATTATTGTAATAAAATTTTGCTTTTATAATTATGGTATATTGTAATTACTAAACAATAATATTTTTGCAATTGCTAGCAAATACCGTCACTGATTGGACAAAGCAGACTACACCGGTGTAACATAAAATTAAAAAAATCCCAAATAAACAGTCTTTCGTGCCCTAACAAAAAAATTTCTTTGCAAATTTACATAATATATGTCATGTTAAATCTTTATACTGCTCTTATTTTAATGTGTGTGTCGTTGTATGATCGAATAGAAAGTTTCAAAATCTGATGAAATATATCAAAAGCAGGACTTCTATGGTTCAATAGAACTGGTGGGATAAATTTAGTAAACCCGGCATAGCGCATGTACGTACATACTTACGTGACTTATGTACTGTACGTGATTTTACGACTAACACTTAAAGATTTATAGTTATTGATGAAGCAAAATTATTTTATCAATCTCAATAACCATAAGCATTACATTACAAAAGAGAATTTTATACGTGGATTATTGATTACTTTATAATACTTGACAGCAGTGTTGCACCGTGAATCTAGCTTAAACTAATTCATGGATATCCTTTTTCTATTGTAGAGTCAGGTTTAAAATATTTGTCCTTTATTTCAAATTATGTGCATAAGCATATAGAAAGCAATGTGCAGATAGTTTAAACTAATGTTTATACGTACAATTTTGTATCTTTATATATCCATTTTTATCGATATTAATTTTTATCAAAATTATTAAAATCGATATTATCATTTGAGTGCAGGTTAACACTACCAACAAATTTACTGCTATAAATTGAATTATCAACATTATCAACATTATCAATATCAAAGACTTTATATTCTATCACCATTTCATTATCAGATTTTAAAAATTCCGTCAAGAATTCGGGATTATTTTTCCAATTTAAAATAGTTTCATGAATTTCCGAAGCTGTTGGTCGTTTTTCTGGATCTTCATTCCAACACTTCTTTAAAATTTCAGCATAACATGACGCTGTTCCTTTAAGAATATTTGGTCTTAACCCTTCACAAATTTCTATAGTCAGTCCGAAATTTTCATATTCACATTCAGAAAATACAACAGATCCAGAAGAAATTTCCCACATAATCATTCCAAAAGAATAAATATCTGATGCTTTGGAGAATGTGCTTCCACGTAAAATTTCAGGAGCCATATATAGCAAAACTCCATAAACACCTTTAGATCCCGAGTCTAATGTTTTATTAATGGCAGTAGCAAAACCTAAATCACCAATATATGCATTATATAAATCATTTTGGAAAATATTTCCACTATGTAAATCACGATGAATAAGATTATGCGAATGAATTAATTTAAG